ACGACAATTTTTTTTTCAACAAAAGTACACTACGATGTACATGTACAGCATTATATTTAAAGATGAAAAATTACAATTTGCACTGAGAGAAAACAAAATCTTATGAAAATTACTATGTTAGAATGGTAATCTGGTACTACTCCCTCGAGTAGAAAGTGTTTACCATTAATAAACGATTTTTTAAAACTGTTTATAAAACAACAATTATTACGCTTATAAACAGTAACTGTTATTATCAGTACAGTGATTTTTACTGTTTGTACGGTATATAGAAATCACTACTACCAGGTAACTGAATGGTAAAAATTAAGTTTCCAAAAAGGTCCCTGTAGGGTAAAGTAATACCGTTCTAGCAAAGTATTTATTATTATTTTTTTAGCTTAGGTAGTAGAGTCACGAAAAAAGAGAGACCAGACATACACATACAAGCTCACACAGGTACGTCCACACCCTTCTCTCTTATATTATATATATTTTGTGGCTGTGCAGTGTGCACCACTCCAGTGGGTATGTCAGCGGCGTTACCCTCTTTCGAGCAGAATTCCCGCACTTCAAGGGGATGAAACGAGAGAAGCCGAGTGCCATTGTTGGATTTAGGGTGAAAGGACTGTTTGCTCATCATTTATGAAAAATTCCCGCTTGCGCTAATTAGTTATTTAATGCAATTTAATTTTTTTGTTCCGCCTCATCGAAACACCCACCCATTCACTTAAAATAGACGACTCTTTTCGCTCTCTCTCTCTCTGTACATTTTTCTTTTTGTTCTCTGTGCGTCACTGTCGACGACTCCCCCCCCTCCCCATCTATTTCATTGTCTTCCTCGTTTTAATAAGTTTTTACGTCCACCGGGAAATTATACAATTTCCAAGGAAAACCGGCTTCTTTGCTTCAAGAACTTTATTTATTTTATTATTTTAATATTCCTGGATTGAAAAAAAAAAAAAAAAAAAAAAAAAAAAATGAGGAGTAATAAAACGTACACCTTTTAAGGTCTGGTGTTAATGAAACGAGAGGTAATTTTCTGATTATTTTTTTTTTACAACTCATAACTCTCACCTCCGACACAACTCGGCAGATATAAATTCTGTCGTAAAGAGCCAATATAACCCAACTTTATTGCACTACAGACGTACCCTCTCATATATATGAATCATTTTTCCAATAGACCGAAAGTTCGCTCGACAAAGTTACAACAACCTCATACTTTCCTAACAAAAATAAAACAAGGCCTATGTGTGTGTATGTTTATATATAATGCAGCTCCGCTAAACGATTCCACAAAGAGGGAGAGCAAAACTTTTAATCGTTAATTTGAAGAAGAGCACCTATACGTACGTATCCTTCCTTTCTCTCCCTCTTTTGTACGCGTCTCTCCCCATACAATTGGCTCCCTCTCTCCCTGCACTTCCCCTTCTCCTCCTCCAACAACTCCACGACTTTTCCTCGCATTTCACTATCACCCATACCATCCGCGCTGTAATTTCTGTGTATTATCGTACTCCCCCGCACCGCCGCGACTGTTATTAGGTTTTTATCTTTCTTTCTTTCTTTCCATTCCTCGCTCTCAATTATCCTTCATGGCTCCGATTCGCGTGCTACCATTAGGTATATATATACTGCACAAAAGAGCGAGAGAGCTTATATCAAGGTATCATTGTGCAAAAGTTTACAGTTGTTGTGTCGCCGTGCTTTTTTTCTTTTCTCTTTATTTTTTTATTTTTTTATTTCTCCTGTCCCTCGACGACGCGGCAGCTGCGAAGGCGCGTACATTTACACGAGCAGTTGGGTTTTTATTCCATCGCAGAGAAGCTCTGGGATAATTTTAGCTCGTCGCGGGGGCGACATGTATATGATATATATGGGCGATTCCGCTACTACTAACTCGAAATGACGCCAAAAATGGATCTAAAACTATTGTTTTACATGGTATTTCCATCTTAAATGAGTATTCGTAGCGATTCTACGACAAAGTCATTTCTACGTATATGGCTCAAATGAAAGGTGGGACCAAAGCCCGTGTCGATGGAAACAAATTTTTTGTTTCATTTAGTACCACCAATCAAAAATTACAGAGGTTGAGAGAAAAGAGCAATGAAAATCTCTAAAAATGATATATTGTGGACATTTGCTGAAAATGCGTTATTTTTCTTTGAACCGCCGTAACTCTTCATTGCATATGGTGGCACTAAATGCAGGAACTGTTACGTTACATCACTAGGGCACAAAGTACAAACATGAGCGGCCAAAGGGTGTAATGTACCATTTTCACTCGATAGGGCTTGATCACAGCTTTCATTTGAGCCAAGTAAGGGCTATCCAAAATAATGTGTATACCACTTCGTTACTGCAACGTTGAAAGTAGCATTACCGTTGGTAGATGTATCTCTCAGTGAGTTGCGGCAGAATCATCCATGTGCATGATGTACGTGTCGAACAGAAACGACGTAGACGCGAAAGCTTTCCTTCAATATTCCACGAGATGCATAATTACACGTATAGGCGGTACAATCGAGTTTTTGCGTGTTACCCCAATGTATTATATTGCATATTATATAGTTGCGGGGTCCACATATTTTTTCCATCAATAGTCGAGTCGGTGTATAATCGCGCGATCAGTTGAGAGCCGATGATCAGAGAGTGATAATGAAAAACTTGAAATTGTGTAAATATGTTACTTTGAACAACGCCAACTCATAGATTTTTCGATAAATAAGGTAAGTACCCGAAAACATTATATCTCTCCCTCACACACACCGAGAGCCACAGACGCAGTCGGGGTTGCTCCTCGGCAGGCGCTTGATGGAAAAATTAATCTAAACCCTGATGGGCGTGAACGAACGGAAATAAAAGCTGCCGGTACTATATGGGTACATCACTTTTCGCGAGAGCAACGGGTGAATGAAACGAATAGAGGGTACAAGCGAGAGCAACCCTCGTCAAAACGGCAGTTCTGTCGATAGTGTGTACATTATACGTGTATAGCTTCGGGGTTCTCGATGGAGAGCTAAATAATTCCCGTGGATCGAGCTACACTAATTTCACGGGAGTGACTTCCGCTCACCTCAACTCCCCTTTGGTATATACGTATGTACATATATATAAATATATACACACCATGCAACCCCTTTGGAGCTTTAGCAGTGACACATCTAGCTGCAACTATACAGGACACGTATGCATAGGTACGTGGTGGTTGGGTTAAAGTATACATGTATAGCCAAGTGGGGGTCGATGAACGCGCGACATTCGAAGAGCTGTACCTATAGCTTTCACGGAAGGCAAGCTCCCCCAAGTGAAACGATACATAGCAGCGGCTCTGGGTTTACTCGATTGCAACTGACGTTACCCGATGAAGGAGCTAAGTATACTTTATTGACACGTTCATCGCGTACTATGGTTTGCTATAGCGGATATATATATATATATATATCCGCTAA